AACTTAAATGCAAATGAAACCAAAAATGTTACTGACTGATTTGCATTTTTTCTTTTTGTATTTTTTTATAAGTGTTTGAGCTTTTGAAAACCAGGGAAATGCTCAGAAACCTTGAACTGAAGCAGGTAACTGTAAAAACTGATGTCACAGGTAAGAATATGAGACTCCTGCTTATTGTACTAAACCTTTGTTTGTTTGTGACTTCTGGAATTTAATCACACAACACAAAATATTAGTATTATTAAACTTTGCTCATTGTTGTTTTGTTTTTTCACAACATCCTAAGCAGGAAATATTTTCATACTTACAACCATAAACATGATTTCTTCCACCTGCCTGTCTTTGATGTAATTTCTTCAAAGTTGAACCATATTACAAATGTGAAGATGGCTGGGAGCAACACAGAGGAAAGTGCTATTATTTCTCCACAAGAAAATCATCCTGGGATCAGAGCAAAACTGAATGTAGCACTAAAGGAGGAGGCCTGGTTAAGATAGACAGCAGCGAGGAGCAGGTATTAAACACTGCTGCAGGTTCATGTTCTCACCCTCATGTTTCGTCATCCCAGAACAGAAAGTTTTACAAAATAATTGAATCATTTTTTTCCATTTAGAGTTTCTTGGGGAAAAATGTTCAACAAAAAACGGTGGGATACGACGACCTTTTCTGGATCGGCCTGACAGGCTCAGCAGAAGAGGGCAAATGGTTGTGGGTGGACGGCTCATCACTGAACGAAAGGTTTGATTCAATCCAATTACATTATATTATATATTACATTTCAGATAGATAGATAGATAGATAGATAGATAGATAGATAGATAGATAGATAGATAGATAGATAGATAGATAGATAGATAGATATAGATGTGTATATATATGTATATATTCACAATAACAGTCACCTTAAAGGTGCTTTATAGTGTAAGGAAAAGACACTAAGATATCCAACAATCAGACAATCTATTAGCGACATTTGGGTGACCCCGTTTTACTGTGACTGCTCTTTTTGTTCTTCATCCCTTAGGTTGACATTTTGGAAGGATCAAGAGGCAGATGATTTGAGTGGAGAAGATCCCGATGGAGACGACTGTGTGGGGATGGGGCCAATGTATTGGTTTGATAATTCCTGCAAAGTACCACAAAGAAGTATTTGTGAGAAACCGGCTTTGATTCTGTGTGGATAAATTTCAGTTCAGGAACAACAGTATGAGCAGACGATATGCTGCAAACATTTAAAGACATCCAGAAATGTTTAATGAAAAAAATACTATATACACTGTTTATAATGAAATACATTTTAATAATTATTCTGTGTCTGATTTTCTTATTCATGTATTATGTGCTAAAAGAGCAACATCACCAGCCTTGTGTCATAATTGTGGTTTGATATTTGACCACTCTTTTATGCAGAATTGGTTGAGTTAATGTAAATTGGTTGGTTTCATGGTGGTGGCCTTCAACCTCCCGGCAACAGCAAGGGCCGGTGTTTAAGA